GTCATGATCCTGGAGTCCCTGGATCGAGTCCCGCATTGGGCTCCCTGCTCGGCGGGGAGTCTGCTTCTCCCTCTGACCCTCCCCCCTCTCATGTGCTTTCTCTCATTCTCTCTCTCTCAAATAAATAAATAAAATCTTTAAAAATAAAAAAAAATAAATAAAAGGACTAGAACAAAACTCAGGCAGTATTTTACCAATAATTGTTTCTAGTAGTAGAATTATGGAACACTTTTTTCTGATTCCTTGTATTTTTCTGCACTGGGCAGTTTTTCTGTAATGATCAGGTTTTACTATTACAATTGGATAAAAAAAAATACTGGAGATTTTCAAAAACTGAGTAGAAAATATGAGGCAAAGATAATATATCTTTTTACATCAAGTCCCTTTTCCTTAAACAGCAATCATTAGACTCAGACATAAAATATGTATGCCCAGAAATTAAACTTCCATATAGGAAAACCAATGGGTAATTCTTGAATAATTTTAAGCGGTGGCTGGGTGTTCGGTTGGGGGTGGTGGTTCACCATTAGTCTCCTTTTTCTTAACTTTTCTCAACTCGTATGTGTTCGCCTCTTCCAGGAGCAGTACCGTTTCTGCTATGATGTCGCTTTGGAGTACGTGGAATCTTCTTAGTTGGCTGAGATCTCAGAGTCCGTCCACGCAGAAGCCCGTTCATCTGTTGAGCCAGCAGCTCTTGTACCTGTTACACCTGTGCAGAAAGATTTTAATGTGGGGGGTGGGAGACTTTTACATTCAAGAAGTAAGAGTATTTTTCTTATGAAGTTGTGTATCTTAATAAAAAGGACTCAATTAGTTTCTATTACTGTACGAAAGCATCAACATTTCGTGCCACATAAATTATATTTAATAAGAACAGATTCAAATGAGAACTTATCAGTGTTTGTACAGTGAATATGCAGCTTTTTCTCGCCTGGTTCTGGTAGAACAGCCACCACACGTTGCATGAATTAACAAATTTCTATGTGGCATTTTTCTCCCTTTTTTTTTAGATAAAAGATGTTAACTCTTTAAGGAAGAAGTAAGAAAAGCTGTGCAAATTCATAGTAGAGTTCATTTTTTATATGTTTCCAGTGTAGCAGATCTCTGTATAAATATATAAATATATATAACTGGCTTATTTTCTTTTGATGTGCAATGATAGCTGGATCATTTAAAGTTCTTTTTAGGGAAAAAAAAAAAAAACATAAGCCAAAGACTCAACTGTAAATATGTCTATATGGAGAAAGCACATTATATTTATTGGTTACTTACATTCCTTTTTTGATGGCTAAAATACTACCACCACACAATCATTTCTTTTCTGAAGAAAGCTTTTCTTTCACTAAAATCAATTGTAAACGATTTTTGTAGATTATTTTTTGTATGTTTTAGTGTAAGTAGAGGATAAACTTTTTATTCATAAACCAGGAAGCGATGTTCTTTATAGTGATTCTCTTGTGTACATGCTTGTGAATTAAATTTATGTAAAACACTTGGCAATTGGGTCTTTTAATATAGGACCAAATTAAAACATTTTGCTGAAGATGTGTAATTTTTCACAATTTCATTAGGTAAATAATGGTTTGGTGATCATACATGAGAATTGCACACATTCAAGGGCCTTGCTGATGACTTGCGCAATGCTGAACATCCCTTTAAGCATCGTTTAAATTTTAAAGGAATTGATTTTGTCAGCCTATGAGCAAGCACTGGTCAAGAAAACAAAATGGCAACATTTATGCTTTCAGAGTCAAATTTTAGCAAACTGTAAACCATCAAGATGATAGAGTGTTTCTTTTGATATTTACATGCACAAGCTTTGGGTTATGACCATAGGAAGTGTGAACAAATCGATGCCAGATTCCTGTTTGTGCATTGTCGTGGGATTTGTAAGTGAACCTTTCTAAATGTGGTCTTGTTCATATGCTCCATATAGCTGTAACTTCACATCATCAGCTTGCAGTTTGTTATTGACTAAAGCATTCCAGTATCCTCCTCCTAGATTGCCAGTACATGACATGGTGCTTATAAAGATTTAACTAAAGTAAGAGTGAAATAAAGTTTTTATAATTACAACAATTGTTTGCACATATTTTCTCTTAACTTCCATGCCTTCATTCCCAAATAAATAGCCTCTTCTCACTGATACTAGTAGACCCCAAAAATTCTATTAAAAGTAAAACGAATGTCCAAGCACTAATAACTTTTTTTTTAATTGAATATCAACCAGTCCAGATAAATGGAGGGGGAAAAGGCCAGAGGATTGACTTAATTCTTTTTAGTTGCTATATATGTATGTCACTATCTTTTTACATAATACACATTTTCATACTTCTTCCTTATAGCAAACTTGACAAATAAGTATCATTCCTGTTTTATAGATGTTGCAACTGAAGCTAATGAGAAAGTAAATGATTTGTCAACAGATTCAAAGCTGAGTCTGATTTAGCAGTTCATTCTCTTCCACTAAACACACTGCTTCCCCCAATGGCATGACGAAGAAAATTGGGCACTTCATTCTTACTGTTCCTCATTAATTGGTTTTCTCATAAAGTCTCATTATGGGTATCTTCAAACTTCCATTCCCTGTGTACATTATTAGAACATTTGTGACTTTCATTAGTAAGAATTTAGATAAAGAGACTTTATCTTTTCCTAGAAAGACTAATTTACATTTAAACATGGATGCATTTAACAAAAAATCCACAAGCTCCTCCCAGATTTCTTTACCCAGTCATGTTCAGGATGTTAATCCCACAGAGGATTCTGCTTTGCCGCATGACCTTAATTTCATTTCTACTCACCCGATTGTGTCCACACTCCACCAAAATCACTGTAAATACTACTGTTTGCAAAGCTCAGAGGTCCGTGTGGCCTCCAAAATTTAAGCAAAGAACAGAAAGAGTCCTCTTTCTCTCTGACAGGAAATAGTGCTGTGCTTGCTTTACTGGGGACACCACAGAGGCCATTGTCAGGAGACAATGGGGGTAGGTATAAATCTGTTTTTCTCAAAACTCCTAGTCAGAAGGTCATTCTTAGTACCTGGTGGCACTCCCTGAGTGATCCTGTGCTTGGATGGCCCCATTGCACTCATTCGTGTCCCTCTGGGCAAAAGTGGGCACCACTTTTAGAATTTGTCATGCTTTTCACAGTGAAAGGCCTCTTATCTATCAGTTAGTCCTTGAATGGCTGTCATGAAGTTGAATTTTATACATCCCCTTCCTAGATAGGATCACTAAAGAAATGCTGGAAGCGTGTGGACCAGAGACACACAAGCCACTGGGAATTTAGGAGTTTTAACAAAGTCCTCTTGAAAATAAGTGTTACGCGTCTGGTCTGAGCTGTGTAGCCTTTTTCTAGTATTTGGTCTTTGGAGAAAGGTTTTCATGTGAATGTGTTGCTGTATCACAACCAAATGATCCGACACTGAGAGAGAAAAAAGATCTTCTGCTGGACAAGGAGGGAGAAGAGACATGTGCTCTCTATACTGATGTGCCTATGTGCTCATGCAACACTCCCATTACTGAGAATCTCCTGGGTTCCAGGTACTCGTGTAATAAGCTTGGAAGGCAGACATCAACAGCTGCTCCCTCTCAAATCCGCTCTGTTACTAGAAAATGGTGGAAAGAAGCTCCTGGCATCTAAAAAAACATAACAGACAATATTAGAATGCAGGAGAGAAATGACTCTATTTCAACAAGAAATAGGAGGTAATCTGTTAGCTTTGGAAGAATGCCTTTGAGATTTGCCTAACCTACATAGGAGAGTGACAATACTACATTTTTAATTTAATTTCTATGCACTTCAGCAAGCAGTCCTTTTTCATAACAAAATAGCCAAAAGTCAATATTCTGCCCCATATCCCAGTGCAATATGTAAAATATTTATAAAATATTTCCATAGACAGAAACTCCACAGCCTGCCTAGATGCATTTCAGTGTTTTAGTAAACACCCCCTATTCAATGTAGGGACAACATGCTATTTTACGCAACACTTTCCTAAGTGAAGACAGAAGACAGCCAGCTGTGTCCCCTATAATAATTTCTACTTACATATTATTTCATAAAGTTTCCCCACAGCTTAGGGAGGCTCAGAATGGGAGCAATATTATCTGAATTTGTTCATAACTCTATTCAAGTGGTCTGCAGAGTATTAGAATATTATCTCTCTGAAACTAAAAGGAAAAGCTCTGTCTTGGGATCTACTTTTAAGTAAGCTATAAGTGGCTTCTGGAATATAAATTGTCCAAAAATCAATGGTGGTAGATCTATAACACTTCTGAACTTCAGCTTCCTCCAAAGTGAATTGAAATGCTAACCTGGAAGAAAACAAACACCAGACAGATACTGTTGTTATTAAATCCTGTAAGAAACCAGTAGAAGGGGTTTCTAAATCATTGAAGCAAACATGAAGTCCCTACTGAGGATCAGAACCCCTTTTTTAATGTTAAAGTCTGCTTGGGAGAGAGATTTTGCAACAGATAACATCTTTCATGATGTATTTTCCAACTGTAGGAAATCTACATGAAATCTAACAGAATACTGAGTGCTGACTCTGATGTGAAATTGTCTTATAAGTCTTAGAGACTTATTAGTCTTATAAGCTTATTAGACTTGATTCACTTAGAAGATATGTAGCATGGAGGCCAAAAAAAAGATTTTTTTTTTAACCTTTCAGTACTTAAATGCAATCTAAGTAGATACAGAATACGAAGAACAAGAATATTTAAACTGAGTGACCAAAGAGTTCTTTTCTTAAATAGATGTTAGAATGTGCGGACAAGCAAAGGCCATACATTACCACTATTTGCCTGGTCTCAGACAAAATCAAACTGGGAAGGTAGAAAAAAATAAGATCACTATGGCATCCACTTGTTATTTGTTGAGAAAGAGGAGAGGCAAATTCAAATGCCTGCATGGCTACTGGACACTGAGTGGGGAAAGCAGGACAGGTATTTCAGAATGGCCATTCAGATTGTATTATAACAATTAAACCATAAATCTGTTTTTCTCAAAGCTCCTATTCAGAAAGTCATTTTTAGTACCCGGTGGCACTCCCTGAGTGGTCCTGGGCTTGGATGGCCACATTCCACTCAGCCATGTCCCTCTGGGCAGGTGATGTCCTGGCACCACTTTTAAAATTTGTCATGCTTTTCACAGTGACATCCTTTGACCCACATTGAATTTCACAGGGACATCCTTAGTTTATGCATTTTCTAATAGGAATATTTCTCATCTCTACAAAAATATATCTCCCATTTTTATTAAAACAATATCCCAGGGCACCTGGCTGGCTCAGTTACTGGAACATGCAACTCTTGATCTCGGGGTTATAAGTTCGAGCCCCACACTGGGTGTAGAGATTACTTAAAAAAATAAAATCTTAAAAAAAAATTTTCCCCAATTTTACATTTTCCCAATTTTGGTTGAAAAATGGATACTAGAGATACTCTCGCATCTTCGGTTCTTACTATTAAAAAACACAATAACAAGATTAATGATAGGTGACAACTGCTGTTTGATACGGGAACCAGAGGGAACAATGTGCAGAGGCCAACTCCCACTTGGACTCGAAAGCAAGTGTGATGCCCAAAGAGAATGGCACTTACCTCCCAGCAGTGTTTGCTGTGTGGGAATATGGACCCAACAGTCTCTCATCTTTCATGAGTGTGGAACTCGGCATTTTTATGTAGACTCTTAAAGACTGTTGAATGTTAGCAACCACTTAAATTCAAAAGCAAACAAACAAACAAACAAAAAACCCTCTGGCCCAACCCTGTGCAAACAAAAAACACAAAAAAACAAACCCTGTCAGAAGGCTGCATCTGATGTGGTCTGTACATGACTTCCATTGTAGAATAACTGTTGTTTACCCTTCCGACCTTCTAAAAATATTCTTAAAGAAATACAAGCTTTAGTTCTCTCAAAACAGCTATCATGACTATTTTTTCATATTTATTCTTTTCCAATTTACCTTCTCTTCCTACATATTTTTGTTTTAAAAAATTTATGTAGATGAATCTTGACTCCTAAGATGAGAAAAAAAAAAACCAAAAAAACATAAAAACAAGGTCGATGTCTCTTTCTGCTCCCTCCTACCTGGACTCAATTCAAAAAAGTGTATTTCAGAAGGTAAATCACACATTTCACCTAATAAGCACCCCCCAAATGATGACTAGAAAATAATTCTTCCGGAAATAATAGTATTGAGAACTCAAAAGGAAAGTGCTTGTTCTGTGAGCCATGGGATGGCCTGAACCATTTTAGTCACAAATGCAGAAAAGCATCAGTGAAAGCACCACACTTCCAGATTGTGATGGTACACACTGATTTCCATGGCAGGTGCGAAACAGTGTGGGCTCTTGCCAGCCCACTGTGGGAACTTGAACTCCAGTTCCATAAATCTAATTACCTGAAGCACAGTCAGCAGACTGAAATTGATTTCTTTTCACCTTCATGTTAGTTCTTAGCATGATAAAGTGAGGATTCCTTAATTATTTACTTCCCAATGTCAACTTCTATATTCTCTGAGCTCAAATGGGATCACTGAGGGAAAAAATATAACTTCACATGGGAAATCAGGATTGATTTTCCTCATGAAATGAAAGACATTAGAGGGATATTTAAGATTATCAAATCCAATGCCTTTATTGTTAAGTTTAAGAAATTAAAACCAAGAGACATCATGTGTCTATCAGTAAAGGTTTGGATAGTAAATATTGTAAGCTTTACAGGCCGTTGACTTCTGTTATCTTTGTTGCTAGACCAACCTTTAATGAATGTTTAAAGCAATTATGTGGACCTGCAATAGAAAATCCTTTTCCTCATATATCTGTTTTATAAATCATATTTGATGATTGAAACAAAAATTATAACACCATATGATATTTAAGAAAATGCTACTGCAAAGTGGGGAAGAAAAAGGGATCTAAATAGAAATAAGGTTTCCATGCTTTACTCCAAGTGATAAAATAATGATACTGTTAGATTATAATAAGTCACATGTGTATATTATAATGCCTAGAAGAACCACTGAGAATATTATATTAAGATATATGCTCAAAAACACTATAAATGAA